AGAAATCAGGCAGAACAGAACAATCAGGCAGAACTGAACAACTCAGCCAGAACTGGAGAATTCAGGCAGAACTGGAGAAATCAGCCAGAACAGGATTATATTTCAACATAAGTCACTGGATCAAAGAGAACTCCATTAAAATTCATCATAAGAGCAAAATTCAATGCACCCTCACTTGTTCGAAACCCAAAAGATAGTATTCCAAGAAACTATATCAGTACAGCACATAGTCTGAAAGATAAGTAAGGGACCATCAAACTGACCATCAAACTGTCCAGCTTTGGTGTACAACCTCATCAAAGAATTTGAAACAGTAGGATAGAAGCAAACCCGTGAATTTGGTATCTGGGTTTGGGGTCCCCTTGACAGGCCTTGATAGCAAGGGTAACGGTATTTTCATCGATGATATGAGACAAATGTAGTTGAAGTTGTTTACAGAACATGTCAAGGGCTCTAAGGGTAACGGTAACTTCAGACCATCAAACTGTCCAGCTTTGGTGTACAACCTCATCAAAGAATTTGAAACAGTAGGATAGAAGCAAACCCGTGAATTTGGTATCTGGGTTTGGGGTCCCCTTGACAGGCCTTGATAGCAAGGGTAACGGTATTTTCATCGATGATATGAGACAAATGTAGTTGAAGTTGTTTACAGAACATGTCAAGGGCTCTAAGGGTAACGGTAACTTCATCGTGTTCGTTTCTCTGTCTCTTCAATCCACTCGCGCACCTGTGAGTGCAAGTTTCGTCTGTCTTCATTTGGAACAAAAAAGAGGCGGCCAGACCCGCCCAGGCCACCTAGGCGCCGCCTAGACCCACCAGAGCCGCCTAGAACCGCCCAGGCAGCCTAGGGGCCGCCTAGAACCGTCCAGGCTGCCTAGGCGCTCCTAGAACAGCCCAGGCCGCCTAACTCCCTTATAGTATCAGAGTTGTTATCTTAGTGGAGATTTCAATGGCTGAATGACATTTGACGGTTTTCGTAGAGAGATTCCAATCCAATCCAATCAACGGAGCAGCCGAAACGAAAGGAAAAAAATCGAAGCTTGAGTTGAGAGAGAGAGAGAGAGAGAGAGAGAGAGAGAGAGAGAGGCTCAAGACCGAGTCTTTGAAGTTTGGAAGCGCTTACGGAGAAGCGAAATGGCTGACTGCGAGTGCAAGCTTCACGTTTGTGAATATATTTAAGAAGTATAGCCGGTCGGCTATACCCTAAAATATTCCGGCTATACCCTAAAATATTCTAGAGCACAGCCGCAGGGCTATACCGTGAAAATAATATATTTAAGTAGTATAGACGCTTGTCTGTACCTTTTATACATTCGAAGCGTATAGCCGCAGGGCTATACCTAGATATTTAAGTAGTATAGACGCTCGTCTGGACCTTTATACATTCGAAGCGTATAGCCGCAGGGCTATACCTTGAAAATAATATATTTAAATAGTATAGCCGGGCGGCGATTCTATGTAAATATACAATTTTGTCATGTTATTTTAAAATACCACTTTAGCTAATTAGGATCGAGTTATTTCTTCAATTTTTTTTTTTTATATCAATGATATTGGGGAATGAAAATTTAAATTCCGATACCTCCTATTCTAATGATTTCCAGCTATTAGTCCATTAGGCAAGAATAAAAAATGAATTTTATTTATAAGAATTAATACGGGTTAAACCCATAAATACAACAACAACAAAAGGGGATCCACCAACATTTTGGGGATAAAAGAATCTTGAATTTCTTATTATCAAATTGCTTGTGCAAGAATTTACTTAGAAGCATCATTCAAGCAAAATGAAAATGTAAAAAATAAAACATAGAAAGTGTAATAAAATTGAACCATCCTTGGCAATCCAAAAAAGAAGAAATAAATAACCTAGAATTGGAAAATGAAAGAATGTGTCTGCATATCATGATCCTCTTTTTGGATAATGAACATGAAGTAATTTCAAGAAGTATAGATAATAGCAAACATGGAAGATGAAAGAAGATAGATTGCATACACTTTAACTGGGGGACGCCTTTTCACTTGTATACAGGCCTCAACATTGTCTTGCTTTATGTGTATCAGCTACCTGTGGAGTTTCCAGATATGTTACAATGGATAGCTGATTTCATTGGTGTGTGCAAGATTACATTCGGATTGGACTGAAGTTTGTTCGAGCTTCTGTCTTCTACTTTTCCACATCATGGTATTTCTATCTTTTATGACATCTACAAATCCAACATAGTTTATCCAGGATACTTGAAAACCAGTGACTTCAGCTTCTCTACAGTGTAGGGTCTGCAAGTTGATCATGTAATAATTCATTCATGGATGGTACGGTTATATCATCCAAGCAAATTGATCAGTTAAGAACCATGCAGATTTGGATTATGTGCAACAGAGAATCTTATGTTACTTATCAAATGTGTGTGTGTGTCATCCTTGCTCAATTGCCACATAAGTGTTTCAATTCTTAAAATCCTTGCCGCATTGCTTTACCTTCTTGTGGTTTGTCTTCTACCTTTTCTTCCTTCTAATGCAGTTATCCTGTGTTAAATAAATGTGATCTAGAGGAAATGGATTCAATAATTTGAGTTGGTCTTATATGAAAGTGCAGTTGAAGTTGGGTTTTATAAAATCGCTTGCTCAATCAAATTGAAGGGTCTACTAGAATATTTAAAAAAATTGTATTTAAAGAGTCGAGCCGGGCGGCTGTACGCTGAAAATATTATATTTAGAATATTTTAACGTTATATTTATATTTAGGCTATACGTACAGCCGATCGGCTGGACTCTGAAAATATTATACTTAGAATTAAAGGTACAGCCGCACGGCTTTACTCTGAAAATATTATATTTAAATCTTAGCCGAGCGGGTATAAACGTACAGCCGCTCGGCTGTACGTTGAAAATATTATATTTAAACGGTGTAGCCGGTCGGCTATACTCTTTGAATATATTCAAATATTTTACAAGTATAGCCGAACGGCTGTACGGTGAAAATATATTATATTTAAATAGTATAGCCCTGGCTATACACTTGAATACAATCGAATATTGTAAACGTATAGCCGCTCGGCTGTACTCTGAAAATATTATACTTAAAGAGTATAGCCGCCCGGCGATACTCTTTAAATATATACGGTTTTAAAGTGCAGCCATCTATCTTCTTATTCTATTCGAATTGGTCGTTTCTGAGGAAATTCGAAGTCTTTGGGAAATGGGTTTTCGTGATTTTGATGTTAATCGAAGACCCAATGATGACAATTTGAATTTGAAGTGATTGGATTGGTTCTGAGGGCCTCTCATGGGGAGATTTCTTGGCGGGTTTGTGTTGCCTCTGCTGCTGCTAACAGGTTTTTAAATGAAAATGCCTTTTGTTAATTTGTTGTAATAATCATGTTATTGTAGTAACAAAATTATTTCAAGTGGATGTGTTGCACTTGACCAGCTGGTGTAGTTAATTGCAACTCAAAAATTTAGCATGCATTTGGATTGGGGCTGATTTCCTTGTTGAGTTTTCTTCAGTTATGTTTTTTTGGTAATTTAGATAAGTTAAGCTTGTCTCATACTGTCTCCCTCATCATCACCATAATTAGTAGTCTGAATTATCATTTGATATGGTTATGGAGAAATTCTGGACGCAGAAAACTTATAGATACTGACAATCTCTGCGTGCTTAGTAACTGAGGTAAATGTGATAGCATGATTCTGCATTAGTGTTTCTTTTGTTTTCGTTGTCAAAAATGCTAAGTGCATGCTATATGGATGATGACAGTGCAACTTGCCATTGCAATGTTCTTTCTGTATAACAGCCTTGGTGCAGCAATGATCACATCTGTAGTAGGAATCATGTGTGTTCTTGTGTCTGTTGTGCTGGGCACGAGACGGAACAACAGGTTCCAATCTACTGTGATGAAGTGTCAGGATTCAAGAATGAAGGCAACAAATGAGATGCTTAACTACATGCGTGTGATCAAATTCCAGGCTTGGGAGGAGCACTTTAATAAGAGAATTCCGGCTTTCCGTGAGTCGGAGTTTAGCTGGCTGACCAAGTTCATGTACTCAATCTCTGTGGTTATGTGGTGCACCCCAGTACTGATATCAACTCTCACATTTGGCACTGTACTCTTATTGGGTGTCTGGCTTGATGCCGGGACATTGTTCACAACCACAAGCATCTTCAACAATTTGCGGGATCCCATCAGGACCTTCCCACAATCTATGATTTCAATTTCTCAAGCTATGATATCTCTTGGGAGGTTGGACCGTTATATGATGAGTAGGGAATTGGTGGAGGATGTGGTGGAGAGAGACAAGGGCTGTGATGGTAGAACTGCTGTGGAGGTTAAAAATGGCGCGTTTAGCTGGGATGATGAAAGCAAAGAAGAGGATTTGAAACACATAAATTTGAATGTCAATAAAGGGGAGCTAACGGCTATTGTAGGAACAGTGGGATCTGGAAAGTCTTCCCTTCTAGCCTCAATTCTTGGTGAGATGCACAAGTTATCCGGAAAGGTATGATTTGATACCATTCAACCCTTTTCTAGATGTCTCTTATGACATAAAATCCCTCCACTGAACCATAAGTTTATAACCAGGTCATAACTCTCTCAAAAAGCTTCAGTTTAATCAAGTACTTGTTGAATTAATAAACTTTTTGAATAACAGGTACGAGTTTGTGGAACAACTGCCCATGTTAATCAAACATCATGGATTCAAAATAGGACTACTGAAGAAAATATATTATTTGGTTTGCCAATGGACAGAGATAGATACCAGGAAGTTATATCAGGGTTTGCTGCTTGGAGAAGGACTTGGAAATGGAGTTTGGAGATCACACTGAGATAGGAGAGCATGGCATCAACCTAAGTGGTGGCCAGAAACAGAGGATACAACTTGCTAGGGCTGTATATCAAAATTGTGACATATATCTTCTCGATGACGTTTTCAGCGCTGTTGATGCTCATACTGGATCAGAAATATTTAAGGTGACATTGCGTTAGATTTTCTACTACATTTGATAGTAAATAAATGATTTACTTTTGATTCCACAGTGATTGAACATTCAAGCTTGTTCTTAATATAGTGGTTTGAACACTTTTTTACTTTCATAGTCTAAATGTGCTAAGATAATAAAAAAACAGTACAAAGTGACACTCATTGAATTTGATTTGTATGCATAATGTTCTACTGATCATGATTTATACTTCTCTGCAGGAATGTGTGAGGGGAGTGCTTAAAAACAAGACGGTTTTAGTTGTAACTCATCAAGTTGACTTCTTGCATAATGTTGATCTTATTTTGGTAAGATTATAATTGCAGTTTGCACACATTTATCCCTTGTACTTATATATTTATTTAAACTTATTACCTCCAAATAATATCAGGTCATGAGAGATGGGATGATAGTACAGGCTGGAAAGTCTAATGATTTGCTAAATTCTGGCCTGGATTTCAAACAGCTATTAGCTGCCCATGAAACCTCCATGGAACTTGTAGAAATGAGCACCACTATTCCCAGCAAAAGTTCCCCCAGTCCTCAAATATCTCCACAATTCTCTTCGAACCACCGGGAAGCCAATGGTGGAAACAACTCTTTGGACCAACCAAAGTCTGATAACAGGACTTATAAACTCATCAAAGAAGAGGATAAAGAAACAGGCAAAGTGAGCTTGCACGTTTACAAAGTTTGTGAGTTAGAATTGCTCACCTTTTCTTTTTCTGTTTAAGCATTAGTTTTTGTCATAGTTGATGAGAGATCCTATTCTCTATTTAATCTAAATTGTATACGTTGTCTTCTTTGCTAACTGATGAGAATTTATCACCCACCAGGCATCAACTGATCAGACGAATATCAATCAATTTCTTCCCTTCATTTTGGGTATGACCATTGCCATGTACATCACTGTGCTTGCCATCTTTATCGTTGTATGCCAAAATTTGTGGCCAACAGTATTCTTGCTGATTCCACTTATTTGGCTTAATATCTGGTACTGGGTATGTCATTCTTTTGATCATGCTGTTGATATTTATCAGTGTAAGATCTATAATGTTGCAATGAATGTGTTCTTCTTGTTTAACAAATGTGTGTTAGACAGGAAAATAAAATATCTAGTTATATGATCTTTGTCATGAATACTGTTGGTCAATCCAACTCTTGTTAGACAGATAATATAAATGTTTTGAACTGAAGCACCCCTATGCAGATATATGAATGTGCTACACTGGAAAAGTAAAATCTCTTGTTTTATGAATGTGGCCTTAATTATATGCTGAGATTTTTCTACTGTTTGGATTTTAGGGTTACTATCTTGCGTCATCTCGTGAATTAACTCGACTCGATTCGATCACAAAAGCTCCTTTTATCCATCACTTCTCAGGGAGCATATCCAGAGTTTTGACAATCCACTCTTGCAGAATGCAGAACATGTTCTCCAAGGAAAATGTTAAAAGGGTTAACGCCAATTCACGTATGGATTTCCACAACAATGGGTCCAATGAGTGGTTTGGTTTCAGTATGGAGATGCTTGGGAGTTTAGTTTTCTGCATTTCCACTGTATTCATGTTCTTGTTGCCAAGCAGTATAATTAAGCCAGGTACATCCTTCTTCTTTTGGTGCGACACTTAACAAGAGGTCATATCTAGCACTTGATTCATGGCCAATTATGATATGGGATGCCTGAGTATATAATACTTAGCGTATCTGATATAAATTAGCATCTTATCTTGGCACATCTGATATAAATTAGCTGCAGTAGATGAGTGTCTATTTCAGAGATTTGGCTAAATCAGTTATTCCTTCATGGTGCAGAGAATGTTGGTTTAACTCTCTCCTACGGATTGGCCCAGAATGGTGTGCTGTTCTGGGCCATTTATAAGAGCTGCTTTGTCGAAAATAAGATGGAATCGGTTGAGAGGATAAAACAATTTACTAACATCTCATCAGAGGCAGCATTGGAGATAAAAGACCGTGTTCCTCCTTCAAATTGGCCTTCCCGTGGCAATGTCGAGCTCAAAGACTTGCAGGTAGTGTACCTTCATTTCTGTTTATATCTTCTGAACAAATAAAGTCAAATCTTACATTCCATGAGCTGCTACACTCTAGCCATTTTTCCTTCCAAATGGTATATTTGTAGTACATCTTCCATGGCTAGTGTAGTGGACGGACAAATGAAGTGGTCTGCATGCAAGTTGTCGTTACTTGGTCATCTCCATTGCTTTGTCTCAAGCTAAATAAGCCCTGTTCCTTTTGATATCGTCCAAATACACCCTGGTTCTCAAAGGCATTAGTCTAAGCATTCACGGGGGTGAAAAGATTGGTGTTGTTGGTCGAACAGGGAGCAGGAAATCAACTTCGATCCAAGTGTTCTTTAGGCTGGTGGAACCTTCAGGAGGCAAAATTATCATCGACAGGATTGATATAACCACAATAGGGCTTCATGATATCAGGTCTCGCTTCGGGATCATTCCTCAAGAACCTGTCCTTTTTGAAGGAACTGTGAGAAGCAGCATTGATCCAGTAGGAATTTATTCAGATAAAGAAATTTGCAAGGTAAACAACACAATGCTATCTGGTTTCCAGATTACATAAGAGAGTAACCCATAGCCTCAAAAAACAATCAGATTGAATTATACAATTTCTTTGTATATGTATGTCATCCACTTACTTAGATGAAACATTTATTCACATTAAATCTTAATTTTCTTGTAGAGCCTTGAACACTGCCAACTTAAAGACGTGGTAGCTGCAAAACCTGATAAACTCAATTCTTTAGGCATGTGACTCTCCCCATTATTTACTCTCTGGAACTGAAATGCTAACTAGCATTAGGATTTGGTACTGACTGTTTCCATCAAATTAAGTGGCTGATGACAACGACAACTGGAGCGTGGGGCAAAGACAGCTTCTCTGTTTGGGGCGAGTTATGTTGAAGCACAGCCGGCTCTTGTTCATGGACGAGGCCACGGCTTCAGTTGATTCACAGACGGATGCTGTAATACAAAGGATCATCTGAGAGGATTTGGCTGCATGTACAATAATCAGCATTGCTCACAGAATACCTACAGTGATGGACTGCAACAAAGTTTCCGTAGTAGATGCAGGTGAGTGTTCTCTCCATCTTGTCACGGTCGGCATTTGTTTACCACATGAAAATTGTAGCTCATGTTCCTTTTTCTAACAGGACTGGCTAAAGAATTTGACAAACTGTCCCGCTTGCTTGAGGGACAATCATTGTTTGGGGCATTGGTTCAGGAGTATGCCAACCGTTCACAAGGACTATAAGCAACCATCTTTGGTTTCTCTATCGTTGCTTCCGGTGATTCCTTTTGTGCTTGCAAATCTTCCAAGAATCACCTGCCTGCATTTGTCCCTCCCATTATTAAAATAAGAAGAGGCCCTTCTCAGCTGTGTGTGGGAATTATCAAGACAATAATGCAAGTCCAAGTCAAGCCTCCCTTAGACTTGTGGCAAGAAGTAGCTAATCTACTCCAGTTACCACCCACATTTCTCCATTCTGTTTAGAATGTATTTAGATGAGAACATTAAACTTATGCTTCTTGACAAGGGTGCTGTTTATGGAAATCAGTTGTATTATTCTTGGAAAATTCAGTAACTGGAATTTGTGGATGCACTCTCTCTCTCTCTCTCTCTCTCTCTCTCTCTACTTTGTATATATGAATATCAGTCCGGCTCTGTGCTGGACGTGCATTTTTATTGACATGGTTGATTGGTTTAGGGGTGCAGATGGTTTCCAGTCTAAGGGGTTGATTTTGGGTGTGTTTCTATGTTTAAATAGTGTTTAGGTTTTTTTATAAATACATGTCTAGAATTGGATTTATTTATAAATTTGTCAAAGTTTTTTAAGTATCAAATTTTCGAAGTTTCAAAAGGTATTTTATATCATAAATAATCAAATTTTGCCAATAAATAGGATTAATGTCAAATAAAATAAGGTAGAAATGAAATTTTCTCAATGCGTCATGTCTTTGATGATGGAATTTATGATATAAATTAAATATAGTGCTAGGGTTTAGAATAGGATATCACTTTTCTTGAATGGAGCAGCTATATAATCAATTTTACATTAAAAAGCGTCAATAAGAAACGCAGCGTTTAAGGTGTTGTTGTGGCCCCTGTAGGTAAGAGACACAGCACCCTATTCTAAACCCCGAGCATAAACCCTAGAGAGAGAGAGATTCACAGAGAGACAGAAAGAAAGAGTGATGGGAAGGTCACGACGAAAGTACAAGCAATCGAGGACGAAGGTCCGCGTGGCGCTGCCGAAGAGGAAGCCCAACGTCTTCAAGGCAGCCTTCTGTCTACCTCCGAAGCTTCGCGCCTTACTGGAACAACAAGGCCCATCCTCTGCCTCATGGGACGCCGAGGGCACTGTTATCGAAAACTATAAGTCCTTCGGCTTCGTTTCTAACCCTAACTTGCTCGGCGTCCGCTCTCGAACCTCTCACATGATCGAAAGTGATTCTCTCCAGGTCCCTCCTCCGCCTACTTCGGGAGATGAGCCCGTCGACGGTAGCGACGTCGAAGAAGACGGTCAGTTCTCTCTCTACTCTCTTTTTCTGAATTAGAAATTGGTAATTTAGTTTCTTTGGCTGAAATAAAAAATTGAAAGCTTAGTGCTTAATGAAATAACTGGTTGTGGATTTTTAAGGGAAGTTGCAATTGAAGTTCCAATTGGTTTACCGGAAAGATTGAACTTTTAGGATAAAGTTATCTGCTTGAGGTTGAGGGGTAGTCAGTTTGCTTTTAGCTCTACACAAAATTCCTTTCGTTTGGAGGTAAAAGTATGAGGAATAACCCAGACAGTTTACAGGGTTATTAAATCCAACACTCCCGGACGGAAGTTGAAATAAATTTTAGAATGGCCAAATACTTAATAATTTGATGGGATGGAGATCGCTATATTGAGTTTGGCTTTAATTTGATCAAGTACTTTTTAATCTGTAAGCCCAAAAAGTTTGGCTTAGGTAATCTGGTCAATTTGTTGACTGACAAACTTCTATAAGGTGATCCGTTACCGTTGGTGCTGCAGTTAATTAATGTATAAATACCCTTAGAATGTAATGATGTAGAGGCTGAACTGGTTGCAAGAACCAAAGTTCTGTCTTCTGCCTAAGGAAATGGACTGTGCGTGTTTGATTTCGAGAAATACAGTGAAATTAAATATCACTATAGGGGAACCATCCCAAACTTGGCGGTTAAATTGGCAATGCTGTTGGGGAGGTACTGCCGAAAATTAGCTCCGAAACCAGTACTCCTAGATTTACTGCTATTTTGAATTGCATAAATTATTTGTTGTAGAACTTGTTGGCTTGATTATTTTCTTCTCTTTCAAAGGTGTGAAACTTGCGATTACACAACTTTCTTTGTTTCATACAGATTTGAGATCTAGTCTAGGGAAAAAGCGGAGAGATGGAAAATCTGCACCACTGCAACCATTAACGGCCATGCAACGCGTTTATATTGGTCGGCTCATTGAGAAGTATGGAGACGACTATCAGGTGGGATACAAGCTTATATTCTATTACAAATTGAAGTTGTAAAGTTGCTTTCTTCATGCTTAAGGTGGAATTGTTGCTTTGCAGGGAATGTTCATGGATACAAAACTAAATGCAATGCAGCATTCTGTTGCAACTTTGGAGAAACTATGCAAAAGGTATCACGTGCATAAAGATAAAAATCCCTTATTGATCCGTTGAGAAAGGCTCAGTCGTGCATGGCAATCTCATGAGAGTGATTCGATCACTAATGTGGTCTTTTTCTCGTTTTCAATATGTTGTATCTTTTTTACTTATGAAAGAATTTTGGTTGATGAATGATTAATATAATTGTTCTAAAGAAAATTTTGAACGACGGGAGTATATGATTGCGCACTGTATTGTAATAAGAACATGAAACCGTATATGTTGTATGAGTAAAATAGTGACTGTATCTAGACCTATTTTGTATCTCTTTCTTGTTCTTTAAGCTGATGGCCGTCGCCCGACCTATCAATTATGGATATCGACCTCAACCTGCTCGGGCATGAAGACATTGTCTTCTCCGGTTAGGTTGTCTTGGTCGTTCAAATGCTCCAAATTGGGGTGAGATTCGAACATGTGGTCCCCTCATATCAATCACCTTGTTCACAAACATCTCAGACACGAGAAAAACTTTCCTGCACCCGTTGCATGAATTTCCCATTTCTCAATACAACGGAGTATGGAAGTTTTTCTCCTCCTGCACCCTCCTCTTCCTGCTTCTTGGCTATCAAGTGCTTGCCAGATGAACCATTCTTACGCAATTTACTAAAAAGCAAAAGGATCGCAAAGAAATACCCAGATAGAAATTCAGCATGGAAACAAAGCAAAGCCTACATAATTTCATAATGGACCCAATTTGAGGACAATTCAACTCTAACCATCTCTTTTAGCATCAAACATTTTCCTTTTCATATCAATAGTACCCATCTCTTCTAGCATCATTAATTTACGACATGATACAAGGATGCAAATTTTACTCCAAATCAAAATTGATGAACAGATTGTGAATCCATACTAATAACAGACCAAGTTTACTTGGATTAAGCAAACAATGACCGCAACGTTAAGTCCCAAAAACTTCGAACACTAAAAACAAATTATATGTACAGCGTTAATCAAAGGCTACATACAAGGAACAGAACATCCACACACGGCTACAAAATAGTCGGTGGGTCACAGAACCCAACGGAAAAATAACCCGTAAATGGGTTCCAAAAGAGCATGAAGAAACTATTGTGACAGTTTACATGGTGGGTTAGGCGGAAAAAGAAGGGCAAAATGGTCCCCGAGTTGTGAACAGACAGCACTCAAACCCCCATGAACGCCCGACACTGGGATTCCCAGTGCTGCTTTGCTTGCCGAACCCTCTCTACCCTTTCTGTCTGGAGCCTCTGCTCCCAGTATTCATTGCAGCTGTTCCATATGAACAAAATAAGAATGAGAATTTTGCATATATAATTTCTAGGTCATTCACTAGAGAATAATGATGCAAAGTAAGTAATATGGTGGGCACAAACATACCTTCTGCCAAGTAACATGCTAAGCTCTTCTAAGTGTACAGCACCCTCATAAACTCTTGCCTGAAATCAATATAAACAAATTACAAATGGTAAGTGGTTTTAACTTTTAACCAGGTCCCAAGCACAAGTAAAAGACGCCACTTTGTGCCTTTGTTTGTGGTACAAAGGCTACCAGCGTACTAGCTCCAAGTGGAAAATGAGAGAATGCTCACCTCTCGGCATAGAGGGCATTTTTCTTTAGGCTCTGCAGCCTTTAATCCATCGACAATAGTCACTGATGCAGCCGAGCAAGCGCACATGTAGCAGAATATATGACCACATGTGAGAGCAACTGGATCAAAAACTGTGTCCTGAAAAGCAGAAGACAAGAGAAAAATCACATGAACTATCATTAAATAAGAACCTCGAATGAAGCACAATAATAGCAAACATGTTTTCTTCTCTACAACTCCTACTTCAGTCATGCACGTTGCTGAGATGGGCAAAAACATAATGTCTCTGTAGTCCTAGACTAGAGAGCTGCCAGAGCTTTAAGTTTGAGTTGATCAAATCAAACCCATAGGCCATGGCATATGCAGTTTGCGTTTAAGGATGTCAAACTTTAAAAACTGGCCATATGTGCTCCTAGTTCATAACAATGAGGCATAGCAGAAATTTTCAATTTGAGAGAGTAAGAGTAATATTTTGAGTGCTTTAATATTTCAAGCTCAGTTCTTGAAACCTGTTACATTATAATTGAATCCATAGACAGAATTAAATGATGTGCAGTTCCGTGCAGAACAACAAAAATATGCAGTGAAAAATGAATGATAGATATGCAGGACATCCTGTGAAAAATAAAAAATCTTGAAACTTACCAAGCATATAGAACATGTCAAGTCAACATCAAGCTTGACAGAATCAAAGAGCTCGCAGGCGAGAGATGGTTTCCCATCATTGATTTTGAGGGAGCATCCCTCAAACAAGGCTGGTGCCTTCCTTGACTTGGTCTTGGTTTCCCTTAAATTGATGTGAAAAGCCATAAGCTCACAAAGCCATGGACTCTGAAGGATTCCAATGTGCATACTTTGAGCTTGTGATTTAAAGGCCTGTCCTTGCGTTGAGTAATGAATCTGTCTCAAAATACAAACAAAATATATTCATTCAACTAGATTATCAAAACTCAGGATAAATTAAATGTGTTCAAAAAGTGCAAGTTGTATACCTTATCATATTTCTTTAGTATTTTTCGAATGGCAATGGCGTTGATCAGTGCATAAGTAACAAGGTCCTTGCCTTCTTCAATTAAGCCAACATGGTTCCCTTGAAGTTTGCCTTTGAACCAAAAGAAGTACTTACGAAAGCCAGAAGCCAGATGCAGTTCAAGCAATTTCTGGGCACGCTTATTAAAGAAGCCTACCACTGCAGACATCTCCTTGAGAAGGGCAGGGAAAAAGCTCCCATCACACACTGCACAATTCAAAATTTCAAACTAAACATTAGCATAAAACCATTGCCAGACACAAAACTTTTTATTTCTTTAAATAACTGGTAAATGTGAGCAGGTGAACCAATCGTGGGTTAAAAAAGTTTAAAATTTGGAAGTTAAAACAGATTCCATATGCCCTGAACATCAATACGGCCTTAAATTTTTTCTTCTTGTATTTATCCTCCAACTTGGCTATAAATATGAATGCAAGATCATGTCAAGGAATTTCAATGGGATTGAAGAAAAGATATATCCAGCATAATCAAATCCCAATATCCAAGAAATGGACCAAAGTTGATAAATTTACTGTCACAATTAGACCCAAAATAAAGAGATTGAAGAATGATGATTCAACAGAAATAGATAGATAGAACATGCTATTCAAAATGACCTGGGCAATGGTCAGGGCATGTTCGAACGTCATGGACCTCATGAGTGTCCTCCCTGCGGCATTTCTTCAAGATCTTCTTCAGCTTCTTGAAGCCAACCCCAGGTAGCTTCTTCTCCTGGCCTTGCATGTACTCCTGGTATTTCTTGCAGAATTTCATTTTTCATCAATGACCACTAAAAATCCTTGGCTTTAAATTAAAATTTAGCAAAAAACAGAGATGGGTCTGAGAGAGAAATCCAAAGATGCAAACTTTTTGATTCCTTAATGCTAAATATCACTAATGAAATGGATCAAATGGTATTTTTCTTTTTCTGAGACTCTCCGGTGATGAGGTGGTGTTGTGTCTTTGGCCGTGTGTAGAGATGTGTTCTAACGGTTTATATCCATCACTTGAAGAAGACGTATAATATATAAAGGACGAATTATACCATCCATGTGCTAAGTGAGCACTGAATTCCCGAGAAAAAGTCAATTTATCAAGAATTTCTCGGAAACTTAAAACAGACTTAACATGTCAATTTGAGTTGAGTGAAGCCACAGATTTGAAAACCTTTTTCATTTTGTGGTAAAATCCATGTGGGAAAACATTCCCAAATCAAGATTAAAAAATACAACGCAACAACAGGTAATGTAATGCTCCTCCACTTGGGGTAGGTCGGTAGACCGTAGATGGTCTATATTTTGTCTGCTTGATTGATTCCTATTTGATAAAAATTACTCTGATAAAATATCTAGACCCTTCTTTTTCTATGTTAATTCTAGACCCTTCATTTTTGTTGTAAATATTGGGGGGAAAAAAAAGGTTTTTTCATTAAAAAAATACTTGGCCAAAAAGAAAGAAGAAAAGAAGAGAACCATCATCACATGTATGATGTATACGTAATATTTGAAAGACAAGGAGGAGGATCATGTGAATTTTGGTAGCAAACAAAATAAAAGAAAATAAGATATCCAACCATCTCAATTTAATGTTTTCATCATGACAACGCAGCTTTAACCAACCCGAAAGTCAAACAAAAATACACATTTGACCTTGGGATATAAAATTTATTCAATGATAATAAAAAATTGTTTTCTTTTTTGTCAAACAAAAAAAAAACGAATAAAAATTGTTGGAGGAGCTCTATCTATCAGTTCACGATTCACCGCCATCACGACGATAAGAGCAAGGGCGTAAACCGCGTACGACAATACATGGCCAGCTATTATGCCACGTGTAAAGGGATGCTGCTTCACGCGATAGACAGCTAGTGGGGGACACCTTTTTGGTATGTGGGGTCACGGCGGATGAGCCAAGAAGCCAAGAAGCCAAAGCCAAAGCCAAAGCAAGCGATCTAGGTACCCAAACTTTCTCACCCAAAAAAGGAAAGGAAACTGCCCCCGCCGGCCTTCTCAAGTCTCAACAAAGAAACGTTTTCGTCTCGTATACGAAAGTAGCACCTGGTCCTCTTAAAGTCTTTTTCTGACAAACTTTTTTTCCATCGTCGTTATTATTATTATTATTTTTGTATTTTAAGTATAATAGTAATCTATCTTTATATAAAGCAAAATATAGAGAATAATAAAATATTAAAAATATTAAAAAATATTTTTGATTAATTCAAACATTAAGAATTAAAATTGTTAATTAAATGAAGATAATATGATAAATTCATTTTTTTCATATTAAATAAAATTAAAATTAAAAACAAAATCATATAATAAGTCCTACTTTTATGAAATATAACTACTCATATTATTTTTTCTTAGGTAACTTCCTTGTATGCACTTGGGCTGTCGCAGTCTGGCCAAGTTCCTGTGTCAACGATGAGCACATTTTATTATTTCATTACCGTGTTGCTCGCCTAATTATAATTAATAATAGTTCAATGTTGAAGGGACAAGAAAATAAACTTTTTCAACATATGTAATCTCATATAAAGACACACAGCGTAAGTACACAGAAACAAACAAACACAGCCAAATAGCTAGCAAGCTTCAGACCAAAAAAAAAAAATAGCTAGCAAGCAATCGGGGATGCTTATATCATCACTACAGTACCATCCGGTCGGTTTAATCTTATCCATACTGCCATGGGGATTGACCTTACTCTGCCAAGTCATTCTAGCTACAAACTTAAGAAGAAGAATACTTTGCGACTAGATACAATTAAATCACTGCTTACGCAAACGCGGTTTAGCGAGTAGACTTGAACAATGAATCCACCTTCTTATATTTAAGTTTGAGTGCTTACTTAATCTTTTTTTCTTTTTTTAAAGACCCTTTCTATTGAGGGAGACGATAGTATACTAAATTCACGTGCACAACACAAATGTTAAAACTCGAATCCAAAACTTTTCCTAAAAGATCAATTATTTCAAACCACTGCGCGAGTGGAGGAATGCTTACTTAATCTTAAACCTTTGATTTTTGTCACCAAACTGTTGCTATTCCTATATATGTCAATATGAATAGTTTATGCCACGATATATGGCTTCATTGTATGCGTGATATAATTACCACATTATGACTATGTTTACAATATAATATATAGTCCCTCTCTCAAGTACTGTATGTATATATGTGGGTTGGTGGGTGGGCATTGTGACTTGTAAGTTAATTCCACACTGAGAAGAGCTCATGCACCCAAAAAATATCGTCAATCGGAAATGAGAATAAAAAGATAGATTTTCTGGTCACTTTGTGAGTGGAAGAGCCACTATGAGTTGTCTCTCGACAGCACTTGCTTATGGTCTATGGGTTGAGTGAGTCGGTCCAAAGCATCATATGCAAAAGGAGATTCTCACGAATGTTTCCTTCGGACAACATTACTTCATAGGATACATAGGAGCCTTCAAATCCATTCCATTGCATATCTTTTCTGTTCTGAGTAAGGAATCTTTTATCTTTTTTTAACAGCTATGAATGATGATATCTATATTTGAAATTTGATTTAGACAATATCAATTGGACGTGTTTCATTTCTAAACGATCACTAGCGCCTAAAGCCATCATTATCTGAATTCTTTGGTGGTGAGTTTAGTCTAATGAGTGGTGAAAGCTGATCAAAAGCAGCCAGCTAAACTGACCCATAAATGACTAAATATAATTTAAATCAAAGGAAAAGTAACAGAAGCATATTAGAAAATGGTGAGTGCCAACCAAATGCATAAACAATTGACCCATCATCACAAACATAAACCCATTTCTTTTGACTATAACTCCCTTTAGGTGCCTAATGGGGTATCTGTTGTTGGAGGAGCCGTGAGTTCATGGATCATGTGAAAACTGCCCAAAAAAAGAAATGGCGTAATTTGTCAGTGCCAGTGTCATACCAATTCACCGTCACATAGTGTTACAACTCCACTTTTATTATAACACATATATAAGTATGACTTCTCTCTCGGTCTAATTTGATGGGTAAATTTGGAACACTACCATTCAAGAATTCTATAATGAGGGTATTTATATATGGCCCTTAGATGAGGTCTTATTTCTTAATTGTTGGATCAAATTGATTAGAATGATCCAGCAATTAAGAGATAGGAAGACTTTACCGAAGGGTCACCATAGAATGACTCCACTACCATTATTCTTTTGGGCTGTCACAGGCTCGATAATCCGGTTGTGTGGACAATTCAGGCGACTTTCTAACGATTGCTAAGAAAGATCCAACAAAATGACCCATTTTCTTCCTTGGCGGTATAAATTTTGGTCCACAAAGGAAATATGAGATCTGGACCATGACTCATATCAGTTTTGGGCATTTGGTCCAGAATTCCCTAAATAAAGTATGAAGGCAGGCCCAATTAAATCATCGCCCACCTTACACTTGCAGCTAAGTTGAAGTTGCATCAATTATTTAAGATGTGAACCAAATCCAATCGGTGGTCCTAAAACCAAACAAAGAAAAGAAAATATTAACCACAAATAAATAGAAAAACATAAAAGAAAAAGAAAAAACCAAACGAGTGGTCTGGGGCACTTTCCTGCGGCTGCTGCTACATTAGCCCACAGAAACAAATCAGTGGACGGTTTTCTTCCATAACAAACAAACACACTATTAATAATTGCTTTGCTTTGCGCCTTCATTTTATAATTTACTATACTGTCTAACCTCTGGGGATTTGCCTTAACCTCCCTCCCTCCACCCCTAAGTCGTTTCTATCTTTCTAGAGGCAACGCGAATGATTAGGAATTAAGCTATATTCACGTACCAAACGACGCCGTCCCACTCGCCTCTTGTCAGAATATTAACAACAACGCAAGCTCGTAACCGAATCAATTCCTACAATACAACAAACCGACACATTTAACCCGAAGAAGCTCTTACAAACTGCTATTTCATTGACTCAGAGAGAGAGAGAGAGAGAGACAGAGGGAGAAACACCAGAGCATTAATGGCGACGACTGGAGAGAAGCAAGTGATGGTGATCGGGGCCGACGAGAGCGAGCAGAGCACTTACGCTCTGGAATGGACTCTGGACCACTTCTTCGCACCCTTCGGTCCCACGTCTCCGTTCAAGCTCGTCATCGTCCACGCCAAGTCCATGCCTTCCGCCGTCGTTGGCCTCGCCGGCCCTGGTAAGTCTCATAGCCGCTAATTAATCATTTAATTATTTTAATTGTGGTCTTTGTGGAGGTGATCAGCTAAATTTCCGTGTTGTGCTTAATTGTAGGAGCGGCGGAGGTTTTACCAATTGTGGATGCTGATTTGAAGAGGATGGCTGCCCGCGTTGCTGACAAGGCTAAGCAACTTTGCGCTACCAAATCGGTATTTTTCATTTTGTTTTAATTATTTCTTGTGAAAGTTTGGTCCTTTTAATTTTAATATATGATTGTTAAGGTTTTGCTTGTCATGATGCAGGCGTTTCATCTGAGTTTTGCTTACTTTGATTTGTGAAGAAGACTAATTTGGTTTTCCCAAGTGTTTTTTTATTATCAATAAATAAAAAAAACTGAAAGATATAGTCGAAGCTAATGACAATCCTAGTACTACTCTTCTTGCAAGCCTTAGGTGATATGATTATGAACAACTTGCATTTCCCTAGCCGGTTTCTGAACATTACATATTCTATGCAGGTGACTGATGTCACTGTGGAGTTGGTGGAAGGAGATGCTAGGAATGTTCTCTGTGACGCTGTTGAAAGGCACCAGGCATCCGTCTTGGTTGTCGGTAGTCATGGCTACGGAGCCATAAAAAGGTATTCCATCATACATGTTCTAATCTTTTCAGTGGAACAAGAACAACCATCTCTAAATTTCAGAGTTCAGTTGACGGTATAATTTGTGGTTAATTGATTTATTATATCGAGGATGCAACAAGATTTTAAGTCTTGTTCAGGGTTTTAGCTGCCAATAGTTGCTGCATAAATTCGTTTAGACTGTTTGTGCCATGAGTAGTTTTGGTGGAAAAGGGTGTTACTTGTCTGCATAAAATCTTAATGCTCTGTTTGATTCTGGTGCAGGGCGGTTCTTGGAAGCGTAAGTGACTATTGTGCTCATCACGCTCACTGCAGCGTGATGATTGTGAAGAAGCCTAAAACAAAACATTGAGCTGAGTGAGCCTCCTCCTATCTATGGCTTCAGTTAAGCATGGCGTTTCGTGGTGGCAGTATTACGATACTTATAATAAATTCGACCATTTGTGAGTTGTAAGGTTATATACTAGTGGTTATAGTTTGAATGTTCGAACTTCAAAGTATGGTGTGTATTATTGTAAGGTACAAAGTTGAAGCTTAAACTTTGGTATAGCGAGTGATGTATCCGTATATCAAAGTTGGATTAGTGAAGTTGTATGATATAAGTTATGACGCAGACTTTTTCCCCCATTCCCTTCATTATATTTCATTCATCATTGATGTTCTTAATTTTACAAAAATGTGAATTCCAAATAAATACCAGTTGAAATCTTTCGGGAAAAAACGACATAGCCCTCAAAAGTGGTCAAGGGTGGCAATTGTCCGACAACAGACAGCAGCAAAAAGGGCGTTGACGTTGTTGGTGGTCTGGAAGAAACCATGGTAGATATGGATATACATGGTTGGTCGTCTATGGGCAAGCGACAGCCAAATGACACTCTACTGATGATCTGATCCACGACCTTTTGACTCAAACAAACTTAAAGGCTAATTAATTAGTTGTTATCCTTTCTGTATGCTAGCCAGCTTCTTATATTCACAAAATTTATTGATAAAATTATTCCACCTTCTTTTTACTTGAAATATAAAATGGAAATCATTGCCCTTGGCTTACTTCCAACGATAAGTTTTCACCTCGTTGTTGATGGAGGAGACATATACGTATACATATACCATGCGCAAATTATAGTCCCCCTCCCCTGGTGATGAGTAGTAGTAAAGAAGCTCTGTTTCTGGCATATCTAGAAGAAAATCAGGAATTAAACAAAGCTGCAATGGCGAGTAGTGTCGAGAAGTCCAAGCAAGTAATGGTGGTAGGTATGGACGCTAGCGACTACAGTGTCTACGGTCTCGAATGGACTCTCAACCACTTCTTCATCCCCTTTGCATCAAACCCTGTTTTCAAACTCGTCATTGTCCATGCCAAACCCTCTTCCTCTGCCATGGCCTTCGCCGGATCTGGTACTTACTGTACATACCTATAACATTCATGCACAAATGCAAATTTGCATGTGTGTCTGTGACATACTATTTTCGCAACAATAACATTATTTGTACCACACAATTTATTGACTCGAAAACTAGAGTTTTGAGTTAAAGTTTGTTGTGCCGAACTTTTATTAACTAAGTCCGTTTGTCCTCTCAAATAGGTATTCATAAGAGCCCTCTCAAGGTTGAGCAGCTATGACACGTCATTATATGTACCTCCCATTGGATACAAATACTTGGAAACGATAGATACTTGGATATGTCGAAACTCGGGCACCCTTGGCAGTCTCCACGATGGATATTTGGGTAGAGCGCATGAAGCCCATTTGAATAGTCTTAACTATTGTGCGTGCCTTTACCTTGTGCATGCTGGAAGTTGGGTTTATTCTAGCCCTTGTTTGAAGGTACTGTAAATTGGGAAACATCCCATCTACAGGGTAGACTCTGCCCAAATTTCGGTAGAAGTCAAAGTCTTTATAAGTTTAATTTAGACAAGAAGAGCACTCTAATAAAGTGGGTCCGACATCGGTTGGATGTCGAATGAGAAACAGGGTTCGTCATGGGTTCCAAGAGGGAATCTGGAGTGGATCCTGTCAATTTTGTATCAAAACATTAGGTTCAATTTCCTATGGAATCCGCACCTCATGTGCATCCCTAGTATCGTTAAATGTAGTGTGTTCTATTATGAAACGATGCCTCTTCGACGTGGATGACCTAATAAGACGTTTCAGGTACGTTTTGTAAGTTCGTCTCGGACTTGTACTTCATTAAATATACATAGCCCAACCCAGAGTAATCTCGGTGAAAGTGATGAAGTCGGAATAGCTTCCTCTTGATGTAATGGACAATGGCCCACACACATCAGTGTGGATTAGTTCAAGAAATTCAGTGACTCTCTCCCCCTTTCTTGAAAAAGGTAAGTTTGACATTTTTCCTTGTAGACAGGATTCACATATGGGCATAGGAACTGAACCCAAAGATTCAAGGTATCCATGTTTGACCATCCTTTGAATCCTTTATTGGCCAATGTGCCATAATTTTAGGTGCCAAACTTGAGTCTGATTGACTTCTCATATGGGCCTCTTAGGTCCTCATATTTCCATATCTATCAGGCAGTTGTTGTTTTCCACATTTTGTATTTGGTAGAGACCATTGATCATAGTACCATTACATATGAATCGACCGCCTTGATGTAAAGAACATCCCATTCAATTGAATGTTATAGTGAAATCTTCTTTTAGCAGTGCTAAAACAGATATTAAGTTCTTCACACAACTTAGAAAGTAAAGACAATCTTTAAGTTCAAGTGTCTCTCTATATGGTAGCTTAAGGAGAAAAGTTCCTACTGCTTTCACAAAGATTTGGGAACCATTTGCAATACGTAGCACGATTTCCCATATTGACAACTTCCTTTGATATTCTAGTCCTTGCAATGTATTGCAAACGTATTTGCTAGCTCCTGAATCAATTATCCAGGTAACTACCATTACTGTCTCAACTACAAAATTGTTATGTTCATAAGTTCCGTTCCTTGTGCATGAAAGATGTACATTACATCTCCTCTTCCTTTTAGCATCCTTAAGGAAGCTAATCCATTTCGATATTATATGGTTTATGAGGCTTGCTGTGTAAAGTGTTATGTATGGGGTTCTACAGAAGTATCTACAAACATAGCAAATAAAATAAATTAGATTGTTCTTATCAAGGCCACAGATTTTGGGTCTTTAAAAACTATGGTTCCTCCCCTCTGTTGACCGTGAGTCTTCCGAGGTAGTTTCACCCATCGAAAAGTACTAGAATGACCTTATAAACGAGTCTTGATTGTTATTTGAGTTATTTTAATTATGTTGGGATTATGAGATTATTTTATAGTATTTTATGGAATTATTGGATATTATTTTGATATTTGAAGTTATGGAATATATGATTATGGGATACTTGATTGATTTGTTGTGAAAGCGAGTCTTGGGACTCGACTGTGATTATGTTGGTTTTACTTGGAGTGTATATTTTCCGAATTATGATACTCCTTTGGAATTGTGGAATCTTGTATAGACTTAACTCGTGTGTTTCGTAAGATTAATAGGACTTTCTCATGTTTGGGTAAACTCGAAAAAAGGCATGTTCGCGTATGGGTAAGCATGAGAGAAAACCCAATAGCCCATCACCTTAAGAAAAGACCCAAACATCCTGGAAAAATATCCAATAGTCATAGCCCACAACACTTGAAAATATCCCACTTCAGTCAAAATATCCAGCACCTTGTCAAAACCAAGGCAAACCCACGTGAACACAAGCTGCTCCCAGCACCTTGTCAAGATCAAGGCAAACTCATATGCATAGGCTGCTGGAAGTAAATCACTTTTGACCATCACACTTATCCATTCTTTCCTGTGCAAGCTCTAGTGGGAAAACAAGAAGGAAAAGCAAGAGGCTCCTCACCCAGATAGAGGAGTCCAGTGGCAGGAAAGTCTTGGAACCCCAAAAAGCTCTGCTCCTATGTGCTAGGGTTGGGGAGATTTCACCAAAGAGGATTGAATGGAAGAAAGTGAGGAAAAATGGAGAAGAAGACTTGATAAAATTGGGGGCTTCCAGCGCCTATAAAAAGGGGCATTTCCTACCCAGTAGATTATCACAGTCGGGGGGCATCCGTAGGAGATCCAGGGAAAGCAAGCATCCTCTCTCACTATTGGAACCCTTAAATTTCCAGCTCTATTCTTCCATCTCTTTCATTTTTCTCCTTTGGTAGACCGATCTAGAGCAAGAAACATCTTTACTCATTGCTGGAAGGTCCAATTTCATGCTATGTTCTTCCATCTTCTTCCTCTCTTTCCCATAAACACATCCAGAGAGAGCAAGCATCACCTCTCACCTATGAAACCCTTCAATTTCAAGCCATGTTCTTCTATTGCTTCCCTTTTTCTCTTCTGTCAAGCCACCCAGGAGACTGACGAAACTTTTGTCAAGCTGCTGGAAATCTGCTAAAGCCACCCTGCTTCCATCTTCTTCCTCTTTTTCCCATAAACACGTCTAGAGAGAACAAACATCACCTCTCACCTCTGGAACCCTTTGATTTCAAGCCATGTTCTTCCATTGCTTCCCTTTTTCTCTTCTGTCAAGCCAGTTAAGAGCTTGACGAAACTTTCGTCAAGCTGCTACAAACTTGCTCAAGCCACTTATTCCTCTTCATTCATTCTTTCCTCTCTTCCTTCAACAAATCCTCTCAAAATTTCCTCTCCCCCTTACTTCGAGCCTCTGTTTCTCATAAGAAACCCAAGCCTTCTCTCTCTCATGCTAAACTCATGAATACTCAGCTCCCATGCCACAAGCTTCTCATGCCAAGTCATAATATTTATCTGTAAGCAACTGTTGGTTTGTTGGTGAAAGAAGCGAATGTGTTTCCTAAGGCTCCACGAACCTTTTGAATCACTATTGGGGCCTGATTCTTAAACTCGGACACAGCGGCAAATCCACCCATTTTCTCTTTACGGCAACTCAGACCCATCAGTAGCTGCCAAAAAGAGAAAGCCCCCCCCATAAATTGGCGACTTCATTGGGGATCAGGTTGCTATCTTCCTCAACGCCTCCAAAGAAGAAGACCATAAGCAATAAACCAGAGAAAATAAAGAGATAAGAACATTTCCTCTCTTTTTTTCTTTTTTTCTTTTCTCTTTTGTTGGCTATCTGCTTTGTGGAAAAAACATAATATGCATTACTGACATGCGCCCTTTGTTTGTGTCTTAGATCTCCATTGTCCAAGAATAACTTGCTCGAATTGTTAGAGAACAACTCAACACAGTCAGCCTCGGATCAGGTTCTTCTATACTAGGCATGTTTAAGTAAAAAAGACCCCAAATCAAAACTTGTGGGATTGCATCATCCTCATACCCTTGCTCCTTAAACTTGGTGCGTACTTCCTCGTACTTCGTGATATCAAGAATCCTAATCCAATTTGGAGTTTCATGATCATATATAGCCAACTAATTATGTAATAGTTAGAGTTAAGGACATCTTTGATAAAAGACATATTATGTTATCAATGGACAAGAAAGTTTGTTTTATACATTAAATCATTCTATATTATCTTTGAATATGTAGAACAACTATAGTACAAGGAATATACAAGTGGATATGAGAGCTATATAATGAGATTGCATACATGGAGACTTCTCATCATCCCTAAATCCTGAATATGTTCATGGTCATAGAAATATTGATTACGCATCAATATTCCGCAAAGACCAATACACAGTATCGTCTCTATATGTAGGGAATGGTAAGGTCTCAAGTCATTAAGTGTGGAGACACATCGATATGTGTGTAGGTGCTTGTAGAAGAACAAGTACACTAAACGTGATCCAACACATGAGTTATAGCATGGAAGTCTTTACTCACATGTCAAGCTGGAACTCATAAATTGCAATGGTGCAAACTAATCCTTAGACCTGAGGCATCATAGATGTTTTGTGGCTATGTTGTTAATCTTTAAGGGCACTATACGGTCATGCTGAATTAGGTATAGCTTCAAGGTGCTCATCAAGATTCTCAATATAATCATGAAAGCAAATGAATGTACAACACTACTCTTAGCAAAGGAGAGAGAATACTCCAAGATATGATTGGTCAAATCTCTGCGCAGAGTAATGGATAAGACTTGAAAAAAGAAGTCTTTAAATCTTACCAGGATAATCATATAAAAAGAATTATTCACATTAGGATATTAACAATCAGATTCCATGATCTAATAATGTGAATAAGGAGTATTGACATAAGAGAAGGATTCAATTGCACGGTCATTCCAATTTGAATACGTTCTTTCACAACGTCTTATTTAGTTCAGATAACCATGACTTGCTGCTAGGCGACAACCATAGTTTGTGGATGTCCTAAAAGGTTTCAATTAACCTTTATTAATAGGAAGAATTAAATTGTGAAATTTAATTCATATATCATCTCTGAGGAGTTGAGTCAACCCACTACATTGCTAAAGGGAACCTACGGATCTGCACACCCAAAGAATGTGATTAGAGGTACAAATGAGGAGACACAAGTCAATGGTTGATAATCAAATGTCAAAGTTCACGGTCAAAAGTCAACATGTTGACTAGAACAATTGACCAAAGTCAAATAGTTCAACTAGGTCAATTAAATAAGACTATAATTATAATTTAATAATTAAATTATAATGGAATTAATATTGACATATAGAAATACTAGATTGGGCTTTTAAATATGATTTAAAAGGAAATTGACAAAATAGCCCAAAAGGCTATTGGGCCCAAGAGATAAGTGGCGTAAGATGACTTGACCCATGGACCAAATGGAGCCTCAAATATCCACCCGATTGCCTTTTGTGTTGTCCTATATAAGCTAAGAGTTTGAGAAAACCTAGTTAGGGTTTTTGGTTTCCTACTTTGGTTGATGAGTGATCATCTTTGTATCTCATCTTCCATAAACCAAAAATTGGTCCAATCAAGAAGTAGACTAGCATCCATACTTCTTGATTGCTTTCTCTTCATCTCTAGGAGCATTTGGTGTGGTGAGCTAGAGGACTCCAATCTTGGAGCCTTAAGGTGAAGGAGTCAAAATCAAGAGAAAGAAAAGGCTTTTCCAACAAAGGTGTTCATTCTTGAGAAATCAAGAAAAGATCATCAAGGGTAAAGATCTATTCCCTTTTTCCCATTCCTATTTGTGTTCAAAGAGACTAGGCTAAGATACTTGGTTTAAAATGAAAAAGGTTTAGCTAAACTAATATAAAGAAAATGAATCCGCAATTTAGAATGTTTTTGTTGTATAGGTTGTGGCTAAATTTCATTTCCTAAGCATTAGATGCATTTTTCCCTCAAACATTACATTTTTCCCTCAAACATTACATTTTCATGCTCCTTTATGTTGATGATATTCTCTTAGCAAGCAGCAATTTGTCATTATTACATGACACTAAGAGAATGTTGTCAAACTATTTTGAGATGAATGATTTAGGTGAAGCAAATTATGTATTGGGAATTGAAATAAATAGAGACACAAAAAGGGGATTACTTGGTCTATCACAGAAAGGATATATAGAAAGGGTACTCAAAAGATTCAATATGGATAACTGCACAGGTTGTGATGTTCCATTCTCAAAAGGTGATAAATTGAGTTGTGAACAATCTCCTAAAACTGAGCAAGAGAAGTTGGAAATGCAAGACAAGCCCTATGCTTCACTTGTAGGAAGCTTGATGTATGCGCAAGTTTGTACAAGACCAGACCTTGCTTTCTGCATAAGTGTTCTTGGAAGGTTTCAATCTAATCCAGGCCAAGCACATTGGGTATCAGGCAAGAAGGTATGAGGCATTTGCAGAGAACTAAAGAGTACAAACTGGTTATCGAAGAGTTGAAGATTTAAAACTTGAAGGATAAGTTGATGCTGATTCTGCTGGTTGTTTGGATACTCAGAAGTGTATATCAGGTGTCGTATATTTGTTTATAGGAGGAGCAGTGGCATGGAGAAGTATCAAACAACAATATGTATCAACCTCAACTATGCAAACTGAATTCTTAGCAGTTTATTAAGCTACTTCAATAGCAATGTGGCTTAAGAATTTTATGTCAGTGTTGAGAGTTGTGGAATCCATACGGAGACCAATCTAGTTGTGGAATGACAACAGTGCTATAGTTTATTTTGCAAAGGGAAATAAGAGATCGTCAGGTATGAGACATCTGCAGTTAAAGTTTTTGTCAGCAAAAGAGAAGATCCGAGATGGTTTTACAGCTTTGGATCACATTGGGAAAGATTCTATGATTGCAGACTCTTTGAACAAAGGTTTGCATAATCATGTTTTTCATAGGCATGTTAGAAGCATGGTTTTGCAGATCAGTTTTGATGTTTAAGTCTGTGAGAGTTAGTGGGAGTCAGAGTTAGTTTTGTGTTCATTTAACTAGTTTCAATCGAAGTTGTCCTTACAGTTTTGTTTTGATAATGTTATTCAAGTTTTTCTTAAAATCATGTTTCTCAATTTATGAATGTTTTGGCATATGGATGAAGGAAGAATCTGCAAAATTGCTAGCACTTTTGTTTTGCATTTTCGTATCCATGAAGGAGCCATGATAGTTTTATTAAGACCTTGGTAGTCTTGTAAGGGTGAGCTAAGAACTATTTTGATCATCAAGCACATTCTAAGGCAAATCTCAACAATTCTTTGATCCTAATTCAGTTGGCAGCCTTATGTGTTGTTATGGACTTATATGTGTGGCTGTAAAAGACTTGAATGTTATTTATTCAATGTGCTTTGACAGTTCCATATGAGTTTATATCAACGACAGTGGCTTGATAAGAAACTGAAAAGTTTTAAGTCCTAAATTGGCCAAGTGGGAGAATGTAAGATAGTTTACTATCTTAAACTTGCATAAAGTGGTCTTCTAATCATTGTCGGATTGCAAGACTTCTTGATTAACCAAGGACTCAAACTAATCTCATCCAGTAGGCTGTGTATCAATGTTTTAATTGGATTACAAGGCTAAAGGGTTTTCTAATCCTTTTAGAATTGGGATTCACTGTTCTATTGCAATAAGGATACCTCAAGGAGTTTCTTGATGAGCAAGACTCCTTGAGTGATGCGTATAAATAGAAGAGCTCCCTCTAAGAGCCGACACACACAACTCATCAAGATAGTCACCCCATCTAGAATATTGAGCTAAGGCAGTCGATTATCTTAGAGAAGAACTCTTTTTCTCAAGCGTCCATTCAAATGGCAGAACATAGTTAGTGTTCAAGTTTTAATAACTTATTAAGTTTACATAAACGTCCTTATAGTCCCGTTCGTGGGGTTGAATGACTATCTTTGAACTCTTTGGCAGCACCAAGTCAGACAGAAAATTGACTTCACTAGATCAGTACATTTCAAGGATGAATTGGAAACACCCTCCACGAGTGCAAACTCGTAAATAAGCCGTGTTGTCTGCTTTACACTCCTCCTGAAGAGCAAGCAAATAATCGAATGAGACAAACCAGATTCACCAACAATTCAACAAATGGATTTTCTACGACATGCTTTTAGACTCAATCATAAGAGTACGCACAGGGCTTCTTTCCATTGCTTAACAGACCTGTGATAACAATGTGCCTATTTATTCATCTAAACCACCTAAATGAAGAACCATTTTGATTTCACAACTAGGACAAAGATCAGATCCCCAAATGAGAAACAATCAGAAATGAACAATTTTAACCAATGACAGAGAAATCCAACTTACAAAGGTCCAGATTTCTTTAAAATATTTTGCAAGCAGGACCCACCAGTCATTTATAAATGGTGGGACTGGTGGGAGACCATTTAAAAAGTGAACAAGATCATGAATGCACAAAGACGTTTAGTGTTGCCAATAAAACTAAACATAAATAGTACAATAAAATATGTTTACCTCTCAAAAGAAATGCCAACCTTCTAACAGTATTAAAATAGCGCTCCCTCATGAGTTGTTCCTCTTTGAAAAGCACTTCCACCTCAGCTAATCGAGCCCCTTGCATCCTCAAGATGAGCTCATTCTTTCTATCGATGTCCTGAAATCAACATAAATTCATTCACAAAATGTTCAAGAGGATAAGCAATCCTAAAAACCAAACAACAAAAAGAGCAAGTGCCTGCTCTCAAGGTCGAGAAACTATAAGAAACAAGCACAGCAACAAAGCAACCCTAAACCTTAAGAAACATAAGAAATAAAATAAAAAATCTAGTACAGGATTATCATTACCTTTAGGTTACTTTGCAATGAAGCAATCTCAGAGTTCATGATGGAAATTGTTGAATTAACAACAGCAAATTCTTGCTCAATTTTTTTCTCTAGAAAATCAATCTGCATAGTTAACATTCACTGAGATATTTGATTTGTCCATTGGGTACCACAAACATAGAAAGAAAAAAAAGTGTTTTGAAGAAAAGAAAACCCAAAGGCATTACCTTATCGGCTTGAGTTTTCACAAGTCCAGAAATCCTTTGCTCCGATAACAATCTTAGTTTCCTTATAGTTTCCTCTTTCACTTCCAACTGCTCATTACAAAGCTTTATCACATCGTTAAGCTTCTGTACCTCCTATGTAAGATATCATTCCACTATCAATAAATGAAAAGAGAAACAAAAAGGAAAATGGAAAGAAATGAGAAATGAGTGGATTTATACCTCTGATTGAACTTGGGCTCCGCCAGCTTCTGTCTCCATTTGCATGGCATCATTTGTACGTATTGGAAGGGCAACAGAAATATCTTTACCCTGCATGGAAAGCAGAAATGCATCTAAGTCAAAAAAATATATAAGTGAAGAGGCATTAAAACCCCAAAAACCTGCTCAGTTTCAAATTGGAAACGTGAAGAACACCTGCTTTACCTCATTGGCTTTAGATTTCTCAATCCCAGACATCCTTTGCTTCAACAACACTATTTCATTTTTTAGTTTCCTAATACTGTCCTCTTTTCCTTGCAACTCCAAATTATGAAATTTCTGTACCACCTATGTAAGATATCATTCCACAACAAAAAAAAAGAAAAGAAAAACAAAAAGGAAAATGGAAAGAAAAGAGTAAGGAGTGGATTTATACCTCCGACAGATCTTGGTCTCTGCTAGTGGCCTCATGTGGATGAACACTGGAGGAAGCACGGTGAGGAGTAGCTGGGTTGTGGCGATAAACGCCAACCAGCACCAACTCCATAGTGGAGGGAAGGACCCGGAAAACAACATGGTCACCAAGTAGAAGTTGGTTCTCTCTTACAAACGTGAGCCACTCCTTACCTATGGTTGTTCTACACGGGTGTGTTAATTCATTTTTAATTTCTACTCGCCACTTTTTAGTCCCCCATTTACCCAGGCATATTTTTCTACTTATTCTAAGGGTGAACATTCCAAATCTTACAGTACTCAATATTTTTTTTACATTAGGAGGTGGAGAGAAAAACGGTTCGCAACTTGTACAAAGTTTGTCAAGTTGAATCTTTTGCACAGATGTTTTAGGTATCATCTGCAAGAATAAAAATGAAAAAGAAAATTATCATACTTTAAAAAAGAAAATAAAAAAATAAAACTAATGTTGCATATGAGTAAGTCTTACCGTGTTGCTTTGTGTGAGCGATGTCTTACTCATCACAACCATGAACTGATTATCATTCATGGCTAGATGTTTACTGGCTTCACAACCCACTTCATCTACATTGTGGAACTCAAAGAAGATGATCTACGAGATGAGGTTGAAAGTTAAAACTAATATTAAGAAATTAAGATGCAAAGCTATAGCAACTATTGAAATCCTAATAATAATACAAATTTACAAAGAAACTACCCAAATAATAATAGAAACTTATTATTTGACCAACTAGGTCTTGGTTTAGTGTTACTTCTCTTCCTAATGTTGAAAGAGATCTCAAGTTCGAACCTAAATTGATCAAAAAAATAGAGTAGCCCCTTAGGACGCGCAGTTTTGTTCCATAAAAGGTAAATTTCTCCACTCACTTCAAACACCCACATATATATATATATATATACATATATATGCATACATCTTTCTCTTAGCATAAATTTATATATATATATATATATATGTTGAAATTAATGCACATTTGTAGAAAAATCTAGAAGCTTGAAGAAAAGGAATGTTGGCTAACAAAACTAAAGTTTGAAGAAAGTTCCAGAACAACCAACAAAGCATGCAGCAATAAATTGAGAAGTTCACCAACTATGTCGGCTAAACATGTGGCTGGAAATAAAAAGCCAAGTCGGTGGACTTGGTGATGTCGGCTACTCTCATCTATAAAATGACTTGTAGCCTTCCCAAGCAAAGTGGAGTCAACTACTAGAACTCCCAATATATGTGGGAGCACAAAAGCTACCCAACCCAAGTCATATGGAGGAGTGAAACAAAAGAACTCCCAAACTAAGGGAGCAAAAAAATAGAGTAGCCCCTTAGGACGCGCAGTTTTGTTCCATAAAAGGTAAATTTCTCCACTCACTTCACAAACACCCACATATATATATATATACATATATATGCATACATCTTTCTCTTAGCATAAATTTATATATATATATATATATATATGTTGAAATTAATGCACATTTGTAGAAAAATCTAGAAGCTTGAAGAAAAGGAATGTTGGCTAACAAAACTAAAGTTTGAAGAAAGTTCCAGAACAACCAACAAAGCATGCAGCAATAAATTGAGAAGTTCACCAACTATGTCGGCTAAACATGTGGCTGGAAATAAAAAGCCAAGTCGGTGGACTTGGTGATGTCGGCTACTCTCATCTATAAAATGACTTGTAGCCTTCCCAAGCAAAGTGGAGTCAACTACTAGAACTCCCAATATATGTGGGAGCACAAAAGCTACCCAACCCAAGTCATATGGAGGAGTGAAACAAAAGAACTCCCAAACTAAGGGAGCCAAGAGCTACTTTGTTTTCCCCACAATTCTAACCATATAAGCATATATATATATATATATACATATATATGCATACATCTTTCTCTTAGCATAAATTTATATATATATATATATATATATGTTGAAATTAATGCACATTTGTAGAAAAATCTAGAAGCTTGAAGAAAAGGAATGTTGGCTAACAAAACTAAAGTTTGAAGAAAGTTCCAGAACAACCAACAAAGCATGCAGCAATAAATTGAGAAGTTCACCAACTATGTCGGCTAAACATGTGGCTGGAAATAAAAAGCCAAGTCGGTGGACTTGGTGATGTCGGCTACTCTCATCTATAAAATGACTTGTAGCCTTCCCAAGCAAAGTGGAGTCAACTACTAGAACTCCCAATATATGTGGGAGCACAAAAGCTACCCAACCCAAGTCATATGGAGGAGTGAAACAAAAGAACTCCCAAACTAAGGGAG